CACACACACACACACACACACACACACACACACACACACACACGAGAGAAAGAGAGACAGACAGACAGACAGACAGACAGAGGAGAGACATAGACAATACATAAATGAATGAATATCAGACCTCCATTAAAACATCATTCATAAAAACACGCCACCAGATGTGATGTATGAGCAATAGCTTGATTCTTGCTTTGTTTGAATAATGCCATAACTTTGCTGAATTTAAAGACTTTTTTATTTATTATTTGATTTTAGATGTTCCAGCTGTAATAGAGCATCCAGGAAAAGGTAGGCTTGGAAGAGGAAAGAATATTTAGATATGTCTTAGAATTAATAAGACAGACAGCAAGCATGTGACAGTGTTTCTTCTCTCTTTTTCTTTGTCTGCCTCCAGGACTAAGCCACAGCATCGTTCCTCTTGCAGTCTCACTGACGCTGATAATAATGCTGGCCATTTTCATGCTTTCCTTCTGGGTGTACAAGCAGAACAGTGGCTTCTTCCAGAGACTCAGGGGGTCTAGGAGTCTTTACTATCCTACATTCAGCTTCAGTACAGCACATTTAGAGGAAAACATCCTCATTTCTGATCTGGAGAAGAGTAACCAGTGATGATGAAGAGAGCGAATACTCCAGCTATGAAGAACAAAGGGAGTTCCCTCTGCGTCTCCCCTTAACAAGAGCCCATTAGAATGTGAATTGTGACGACTCGGGTTTAATTATTCTTCAGGCAGTGGTTTTGAATTTTAACCAAATCAGACGAGGTTTAATGGATTCATTTCCTTTAGCCATGGACCATTCTGAAAAGGGGTGTTGGTTATTATTTAGAAAGACACGGACTATTAAAAAGAATCCTGCATTGAGTACTCTCAAGCCAGTCCGGCACTCATTCCGACATGTAAGTTCACTCAATGCGTTAAAAGAGAAAGGGGGCGGGGCTCTGGCTGTGTTTGAGAGGAAGGTGCTTCTGAGAAACTGCGTCCTGTTTGATTCCAATTCAGTCGTTTTTTTCATAGTCTGGCTTGGGAAAGTCCTAAATTTAAACATCCAGGTTCTGGGCTCTCAGCTAATACTTTGGAAGGCATTAATTTTTATTAGGTTTGACTCTTAAACTAAATGAGAGAACCAGCACCTTCTTCTAAATATGAAGATCTTGGTATGCAAACACTCTCAGGGACAACCATGCCATTAAAATGAGGCATAAACCCTCACTTGCTAAGTGATTACTCTGTTAAAGGTATCTTATAGGTAAGCTCAAAGGAATCCACTGAGAGTTCAATATTGGACCTTGTTAAAAAGTGAAGTAGCCGGGTGGTGGTGGCGCAGGCCTTTAATCTCAGCACTTGGGAGGCAGAGCCAGGCAGATCTCTGTGAGTTCAAGGCCAGCCTGGTCTCCAAAGCGAGTTCCAGGAAAGGCTCAAAGCTACACAGAGAAACCCTGTCTCGAAAAACCAAAAAAAAAAAAAGTAAAGTAATAATATAATATAGAAATAATGATCTTAACCAGGAGATACAAAATATATGTAACCTAAACCTAAAGAGAAAAAAAATGAAGATCTGAATTATATTCCCATTAGAAGCAAACTAGAGGGATGTTGAGAAATATTAAATAGAATGACTGCAGTAGTAATCTAGATATGTTTGTCATATGTTCATTTAGGTGTTTTTAAATAAACTATCAATTTTGATTATCTCTTTTTTGTGTTCGACTAGTTGATGCCATTGCTTGGTTAATATGGATTAAAAGTATGATATTTGAGGCTGGGAGGTAGCTCAGTTGGTCAAGTGTCTGCTCTGCAATTCTGAGGATCTGAGTTCAGATCCTGAGCACCCACATGAAGATCAGGTGCAATGCTGCTCATCTGTATCCCCAGCTCTGGGATGGGGGTGGGATGCAGTGGTGCTCATCTGTAACCCCAGTTCTGGAATGGGGTAGAACAAAACCAGGTTAATCCCTGAAGCTCATTTACCAGGCAGCCTAGCCAAATTGATGAATCAAATTGATGAATTTCAGGTTCAGTGATAGACTTTGTCTCAAAACTAGTGTGGAAAAAGACACCTAATTGTCAACTTCTGGCCTCTACATGCACACATGTACATGCACCCTCACAAATACAAATTAAAATTTTAAAGTATATTTTCTGTAAATTAAAAAAATCACAGGTATGACATTCTTTCATTAATTTCTGATAAATAAAAGTGGCTCCATAATCAGGATGGAAAAGTTACTTCTCATATAAATGTTTACTGCACGTCCTATTAAGACAGATGGTCTGCTCTAGAACCAGTCCTGGGTTGTCTCTGTCCTTCTGACGCTTTACCCCAGGAAAGCAGTCTACACACAGAAGACAGCAGGGGGCTATGGAAATCAAATCAAATATAGTCCTGTGATAAACTTGGGGGTTCTCCAGGCTCGCCTCAGCGTGCATTCAACCAGTACAATCAACTGCTTCGGTGCTAGTGGCCGCTAGTCACAAGGGGGAGCTCTGAGGAAAAGCATGGACCTGTTTCTGCACAGCAAACTGGGATTGTGAGCCATGCACCAGGTAGACTAGGTCCTTGTGGGCTAGTACAGAGAACACAGCTCCCGGTCGCAGCAGCTCTTTGCTCCTGCTGTTGTGGAGCTGACACACTGGGGACAATCTGCTTTCGTTTTTTTCTACATCTTAGGACTTCACTTTTAAGAAACATTACATTATGTGGCAGTTGTATATTTCTGACTCAAAAGAATAACTGGCTTAACTAACCAGATGGTATATTAAAACAAAACAAAAAAAAACTTCAGCTTAAAAATCTATCAAGTAAAATTAAAATTCCTTTCATTTCAGTAGATTTGATGAAGCTGTAATCAATTAACCTCCCACTAAAAGTAGACAGTCGCAGATAACAATTGGACAAAAGTATCTCACTGCAAACGAAGTTTTGCTGAAAGAGACGGCATTACTTGTCAACGCTCTGGCTTTTTATACTTGGTATTGAACCTTCCCTCCAGAGTCTGTCCCCATAAACAGACCATGCATTTATTTCCACTGCTGGAACTTCAGAAATAAATAGTACTAAGGCACCCTGCTTTTTCTACACACGAACCCTTTAGAGTCTTTTCTACACATCTAATTTTCTTCTTTCATTAACTTAAAATTATTTTCACACAGTGTATTTTGATCATGTTCTTTCTTCTCCCCCAACTCTTCCAGATCTTCCCCATTTCCTTTCTGACCCAACATCATAGTCTTTCTCTCAACAACAACAATAAAATGAAAATTAAAACAAACAAAAAACCCCAGGAAGACAAAAAAAAAAAAAAAAAAAAAAAAAAAAAAAAAAGGAAACAAACAAAACAAAATGAAAAGCACACAAAAAACCCATGA